CTCTCTCTCTCTCTCTCTCTCTCTCTCTCTCTCTCTCTCTCTCTCTCTCTCTCTCTCTCTCTCTAGGGTCTAGATGTTTCACTGGATAGATCGCGTGAGTTTGTACTGAATGTGTCAAGGGTGAACGCATTAAGGCGCTCCTTGGGGGTGTATTGTGATAATGTAACAAAGAGTCTCTTGACAAGCAGAGATTTTCTGGAGAAAGAGGCACAGGTTGAGGCTGCTTTCCACACTTGCAGGGATGCTTTCGTGGAAATATCTACAGCATATATAAATCTATTGGAGAACAAGGCATTTTCCCCCCCTTCGGAATGTGTCGTAGATATCGTCAGGAGTGTATTGGCCGAGGCCCGAGGGGTTTTAGGTGCTAACTTATGTATGTCGAGTGGGTCTGCTGGTACTGGCAGTGCCTCGGCGCGTTTATATGCGGAGGCGACTGCCTCCTCCAGGGTGTATGGATAGGGTCGCTCCGAAGATGACCAGCCTGATTGTGTTTCCTAGGAATGCCTCTGAGAAGTTTGCGACCACTGAGGAAACTCGGATGGCGTTTCAGAGGGCCATCAAGCCCTCGGACTTTAACTTGAAGGTCAAGAGAGTAATACCAGTTAAGAATAACGGTTCGCGTTGAGGCGCTTTCGGTGGATTTACTAAAGATCAAAGAATCTGCCGAGCTCAGCGATGCTGGTCTCAAGCTTGTGGAGAAGTAGAGAGCCAATTCTGGACTGCTTATCAGAGAGGTGCCATCTCGGCTGTCCGGTGACATCAGGTCGGAGCTCATTACCCTGAACTTCAAAAGTTTCGACACAGCCGAGTTAAAGGTCACTCACGTATACACGCCTGCGAAGGATCGGGGGACTACGAGTTGTGTCATTAAGGTAACCCCCGAAATACGCTCTTTTCTGCTGGCGGAGGAACAGGTATTTATTAATTTTTCTGCCTGTATCTGACTTTGTCAGGGTTCTACAGTGCTATAAGTGCCTTTGGTCACATGGCGAAGAATTGTAAGCGTGACCCGCTCTGTGGACACTGTGCGGGAGATCATGAGATGCGTACGTGTGCCGCGAGGGAGAAGCCCCCTGTCTGCGGTAACTGGCGGGGGTGTCCAACACTCTCCGAGGGGGTCGTTCCTTTTAGGCCCTTGATCCACATACGTGGTGCCTAGGCACGACAATGGATTCTCTGGGCCCGGGGTCGGGGACAAACCCCAAAGCTGTGGCTTGCAAAGACACGACAAATGTTACAGGTGGGTAGTGTAAAATGATGGGTAGTGAGAAAGCGGGGGGTTCTCCCACCCCAGGCATAAATATAAATATACTATTTAATGGTGGCAGAGACTTCGGAATGTTCTGGTGCTCGAGCTCGCCTGCTCGCCCGAATGTATATTCGAAGGTTCTCTGTTAACTGGCCGTCTCCAAGCGCATGTGGAGCTGGTCCGGGAGTGCACTCAGTGTACAGACTCGAAAGTCCTTGGCGTGACCCTCAACGAAGGGTCGTGGCACACGCCGTGGGGCTGACGACGTCGACTCGATCGGATTCACTTGTGGGAGATGGCCTAAGAGCGTGAACGCTTGTGTAGCGCCACACACAGTCCGGGCGGGAGCGCTATGGCACCAAGGAATGACCCCATGCCCAGCCATTTTTGGCGGGCTTCTTCAGTGAAGCACCAAGTGGCTCGGGTTATATTCGGTTACCTTGAGCGGTTTCTTTAGTGAAACGCCAAGTGACCCTGGTAATGCTTGGGCATTTTGAGCAAATGTGGGTGCAACATTTACGAGAAGAAGATTACCTGCAGAGGAGGAGATTTTGCGAAAATTTCTTAAGAAGAGTAGACGAAGATCCCAAATTTCCTTCTCGTATAATATTCAACGATAAATCGCTGTTTACACGAGAAGGAATTTTTAACTCGCACAATATGCATGTGTGGGACGAAGAGAATCCTCGTGTGACACGAATAAGAAGTTATCAAGTTCGTTGAAAACTGAACGTCTGGGCTGGAATAATGGGCACAAACATATTTGGTCCAGTATTTCTTCCTGATACGTTAAACGGCGTATCGTATTTAGAATTTTTACAAGAAAATCTACCAGACTTTTTGGAAGAAGTACCATTAGAACGCAGAAACGAAATTATATTTCAACAAGACGGTGCTGGACCACATAATGCCAGAATCGTTACATATTTTTTAAATCAGCGATTTCCTGGTCGTTGGATGGGACGGTACGGCCCAATACGTTGGCCTCCAAAATCCCCGGATATCAATCCACTGGATTTTTTTTTGTGGGGACATTGCAAAGAAATTGTCTACAGACAGTTTCCCGAGGACATCAAAGAATTAAATGACAAACTTCACTATGCGATTTGGGATGTCGACAATGAAGTGATGGAAAAACTCAGAGAAATTTATTAAGATGCATGAGAGCTTGCATCGCGATGGATGGTGGACATTTCGAACATTTATTATAAAGAAAATAATTAACCTGCCCTTTTCAGAGCAACCAAATATTTTATTTCGAGGAACATTCTCTCGTAGATCGCAAATTGTTAAAAAATAAAAGTAATAAATACTTTAATAAATACTAATAAAATACTTACAAAATATTTATAAAACATAAAATACTCGCTTGGAGTTCGTAAAATAAAATAAAAAATTTATTTAAAATAATTAATTAAATTATTAAAAAATCAATTAAATCATTTAAATTATTAAAAATAAATCAAATACGTATATTGATTGCAGCCTTCGAACAGTCGCGCTCTGATTGTGATATTTCAACTAATCGCACGTTCGCACTTCGCGTTTTGACAGCGCTGCCTGCGCTGCAAACCTAACCAACAAAATCAGTCGATTGCTTGCTATCGTCGAGTGAACGCCTCGGGTCAGTAAATCGTGTTGTAAGTCGTGTGTTAGTAAATAGCGCGCGCGTTTCTTTCTACAAGTGATTTTTCAGTCGACATATAATTAATCGACACGGATTAATAATAATTAAGTGATAAATTCGATATTAAAATCAGTCGAATGCTTGCTGTTGTCGAGTGAACGCTTCGTGTGTCAGTAAATTGTCACGTGTTTCTTTCCTCGAGTGATTTTTCAGTCGACGAATAATTAATCGACATGGATTGATAATAATTGTAAGTGATAGATTCGATATTAAAATCAGTCGACTGCTTGCTATCGTCGAGTGAACGGGTCGTGTGTTTCTTTCTTCGTGTGATTTTTCACACGGACGGATAATTAATTGACAGTGATTGTAAAGTACGTAACGGATATTAATTAGCAGATACATTAGTTGATTTCTCGTGATTTCTTCAAGTGAATAATTTGTATGTGAATTGAGTGTGAAGTGGTTTGTAAAGAAAAAAGAATTAACTAATTAATTATTTGATCTACGTGTTAATCAGTGACGTTTGCAATAAAAATATCAAAAATTTATTAAAATAAACATAAACACTCATTACAAGGAAATCACATCGAAATGGGCCAAATTCTCCATCATTTTCGAAAAGCTGCAGAAATCGGCAAATCTTTACAAGGTAAGGTTGTGTGTGTGTGTGGGGGTGGGGGGGGGGCTGTGAGAAAGAGAGAGAAAGGGAGAATGTAAACGCATAGTTATGTACGCGTGTAGTCAGCTGATAGTCGCGACGGTCCCGCGTACCGCCTGCCGTCGGATAGTAAGTTGCGCCGCCACTGTCTACCTTCCGTACGCGGCCCGTAATTCGCTAACTATTTCTCGTTAAAATTTAAAAACTAAGCTTCGGACAAAATTTTTACAAAGAAAAAATCGTCTTAGAATTCAGTCAAGAATACGTCTTTTCAAGGACGAGGGGTTGTTCTGAATCACCCTGTATGTCCGGAAGAATAAAAAACATCACGATAATACAGATTCCTACGATTGAGAAACCAAAGAAAGCAAGTGAATATAGACTAATTAATATTTTACCAATGTATGAGAACGTGTTAGAGTTAGCAGTTAAAAAACAATTAGAAAAATACTTAGAGAGTAATAATATTTTGTCAGAGCACCTCGGGATTTAGAAGATTTCATTTGTGTGAAACAGCGATTCAAAGTGTCATTGACGATTGGAAGGTGATAATCAGTGAAGGAAAAATGGTGAAAGTGATATTCTTGGATTTAAAATGGGCTTTCGAGACAATTGATAGAACAAGATTGGAGACTGAGGAAACTAGATCAATATGGAATTAAAAAAATGGTACTAAAATGGTTTAGATCGTATCTAAATAATAGAACGCAGCAAGTTAGATTTAATAACCAATGGTCAGAGCGTATTAAAACAGAGTACGGGGTTCCGTAAAGATCTTGCCCTTGCTGTTTATAATATATATTAATGATCTAGTCAAAATATGTTTGGAAAAATAAGCAATATTTAAATGTTTGCAGATGATACATTGGTATATGTAAGTGGAGAAGCTACGGTAGAAATAGAAAGAAAAATGAACAGGGTATTTTTAGGATAGTAGAAGAGTGTAAATAAGTTGAAAATGAATGCGAATAAAACTAATTAATGATAATCAGAAGTGTAAGAAAAGAGTTGAATGGTAATATTATATTGAAATGTTATGATGGAATTGAGCTTGAACGTGTCGAAAAAATGAAATATCTTGGTGTAATTATCGATGATAAACTTCAATTTAAATATCACTGTGATTACATGTTAAAGAAAATAGGAAAAAATACGAGTTTTCTAAATAGAATAGGTAACTCAGTATTGGCGTACACTAGATGTATTATGTATAAGTCTATTATAGCACCTCACTTTGAGTACTGTACGTGTTACTCTATTGGTTGGGATGGAAGAAACGCAATTGAGCAAACTTCAAATAGTTCAAAACCGGGCCGTGAGTCATCTTGCAATGTAATAGATACACTAAGGTGGAGCACATGCTGCATGCGCTGCAATTTATGTCTGTAAGACAACGACTGTATTATAACGTAGGTGTATTTATTTTCAAAATCTTAAATAACATGGCACCGTTGGCGTTCAGCAATAGAGTGGAGAGAGTGGGAAGCGAATGCCTTAGACAAACAAGGCAGTCCGGTAATAACATTCCGTAGAATTAGAAGCGCGCAAAAAAGTCTGTTCTACGAAGAAATAAAAATGTTCAATTCCTTACCGTCCAAGATTAAGCAGTGTGATAGAATTGTATCGTTTAAGAGACTGTTCAAAGGATATATATTTAACAATGTATAGTAATTATATATATGTAATAACTGAGTAACTGAGAAAGCTAAATAAACGTCATTCATTCTCTCTCTCTCTCTCTCTCTCTCTTTCTCTCTCTCTGACCTGAGGCGGACGTGTGTCACATGGCTCCGTAAAAATCATAATTTTTACGATGGTCTAAGAGGGCGGAAAGGGAGTAAGAGTTTCCACAATAGTGCCGATATCGACCATCTGTGTGCGTTACCTAGTCGGAATGTGTTGACTAGTGTGAGAAAGACGTGAATTTATATGTGACATTGCGGTGCTTGAAAGACAGGTATCAATCAAAGTGCCGACGTGGATGTTTCGGCGTGTGCGGACGCTAACTAATTAGCGGAAGGCACTGTGATTTATCGATATTAAGGTTATCGGTCGGTAATGCGGACGTGCTTGAATCTGTTTATGTAGAATATTGTTGCTCTGCCTGTAAGAAAAAAATCATAAGTGTTGTGCTTTAGTACAACCTGTATGAAATTTTTCTTTCATCCTGGATGCGCCTTCAAGTATAGAGTATATAATAAGCAGAATGAATTGGTGAAATGTGAAGATCCATTTAAAAAATTAAAAAGCGAGAGCAATAAGGAAGAAATGAAAAGAACACCCGCAGCGGGCGGCAGTAGAGAAAGAGTAGGATCAACGGGATCAGCGAATTCGACGGGAACAGCAGTGACTACATCAGGTGCGAGCAAACAAAGTAGAATGAAAATGTGAAAATTGATTGGTTGGTCAGAACAGTAAAGAAGATGACGATAGACGAAGTAGCATGCAAGAACGAAATCAAGACGATGATTACAAAAATTATTTGGAAAGAGTTGAAATCTTTTAGACGTAAATTTGAAGAAGTGAAAAGGAATATACAGGAGAAAACTATTGGTATAGCAGAAAAGGGATTAGGAAGCTACAGTGAGGCAGTAAAAAATAAGAAGAAAGAAAGCATTTTAATCGCCCAATCGATAAAGGAGCAGGAGAGTGAAGCTACCAAGAAATTGGTAAAAGAAAGAAACATAAAGAATCTGGAGGTAAGAATAGCAAAGTTGAAGAAAGGAAGTAAAGGCTCGGTTATTCTGGGATATAAGAACGAGAGAGAAATGGAAAAGCTGAAAGATACAGTACGTGAAAAGCTAGATAAAGACTTTAAGATCACAGAATCGAAAAAAATAAGACCGAAAATAAAAGTTATAAATGTTGAAAAAGAAGAAATACAGCTGAAAGATGAAATCTTAATTGATACGATCAAGAAGTAAAATACAATCGACGGCAACGATGAAGAATTTTGCAAAAATTATGAAGAGGATAGTTAAAAACAAGAGCGGTTCTTTATACTTTAATACTACATTTAATGAAATTAATGAAACAATTAATGAAATGATCCATTAGCTAATGCTGAGAAAAGAGAAAATAAATATCGGATGGAGGAAGTATCTTGTGCTTTGATCATTACAGTGTTAAGAGACATTTCAAATGCTGGGGTTGCTATCATATTGACAAAGATTGTAAGCGACAGGAAACATGTTATAAATGTGCTGGAAACCACAAAGTAAGCGATTGTAAGGCAAAAAAGATGAGATGTGTAAATTGTATACACAAGAGTAAAACGTATAATTTAAAGATAAATGACGAGCACGATGCTTTAAGTAGAAAATGTCCGACTTTCATCAGAGCATTGGAGGAGGAAAAGAAGAGAACTGGCTGGTAGTCTACTAAATAGCAATCACGAAAGGAGTCAATTGTATACACGAATACGCAAAGTCTTATGGCGCACAAGGACGAAATTCAAGACTACATGAAGAAGATGAATCTAGCAGTCATGGCGTTATCGGAGACGAAGCTTGTTCCGGAAATTGAAGATAATGAAATGAATGTGCCGGGATATAATTTAGTTAGATGCGATGGAGCAAATAGAAACACAAGAGGCGTTGTGATTTATATAAGAAACTATATCAAATATGAGGTAATAGTAAAGAAAAAGATAGCATCGAACTGCTGGTGTGTATAACGATTGAGATGAGAGATAATATGTACAAAGGTGTGATTATGTATGTGTATCATTCACCGAGCGCATCAGATGATGATTTTATGAGATTTCTAGAGGACATAGTGGATCTCCTAATAACGAAAGGTCAATGTATTATATTAAGTGATTTTAATATAGATTTAATGACGGATACATTTTATGCGAAGAAGCTAATAAAGAAAATGTTATGATTAGGTATGAAGCAATACGTAGACAAACCGACTAAAATTACTAAAAAGTCAAACTTTATAGATAGAATTAGTTTTTTCAAATACTAAGATAAACTACAAAGTATATGATAAGCCAACAGATCATTCATGGTTAAGCGTGGAACTTAATATAAGTAATAACAATAAAAAAATACAGAAAATTTATTAGTAAGGAATAATAGCAAATTTAGTATAGACGAATTTTTATACGCAGTAGAGGAGAAATTAGAACAGATAATTTAGAGGTAAATAAAATATCAGAGAAATTTGTTCAGATATGGCAGCGGCATTAGATATTGTAGCACCATAGAAAAAGTTTAAAATTCCAAAGATATGGGAAGGGAAAAAATGGTATTCGGATAATATAAAAGTAGCTACAAAGAAAAGGAATAAATCTTACGAGAGAGCGATATGTATACGTGCAATAAACAAGATTGGCTGCAGTTTAAAATTGAAAGAAATATAGTAAAGAATAGTTAGAAGGAATAACTAGAAAGAAAAAGAAAAAATATAATAACATGAAAAATAATAATAAAAATGATCTTGTGCTAATGTGAAAAATTTTAGGAAAGTGAAAAAGGAAGTTATAAGAGGAAAAACTACGGGTACAAAAGAAATTGGTAAGGTAGATTTTGAAATATTGGAGAACGTAGAAGAATGTACCTTAGCGAATAGATTTAATATATTTTATACACAGAGCATTAATAACATAATAGAATCCATATGGAAAAATTACAGTAGAAGTACTAAAACTATCTATGTTATTAAAAGTAGAGGCATAATTGAAAATTTTAAGTTGGTAAATGTACAGAAATTAGAACAAATTGTAATGACTTTGCCACAGAAAAAGGGAATAGATGAGGGAATATTTTGTGATATATTGAAAATAAGCTTTCATGTGATAAAGGATGAACTATTAAGGATAATAAATGATTCATTATTAAAGGGTATATGCCCGGAGGCATGGAAAACATCTACGATAACATCGATTCCTAAAATAAAAAAACTGAAGAAAGCAAGTAAATGTAGACCAATTAATACATTACCAATTTATGGGAAAGTCTTAGAGTTAATAGTAAAGGAGCAAATAAAAAAATACTTACATAATAATGAATACTTACATTATAACAGAAAATCAATCAAGATTTAGAAAATGTCATTCGTGTGAAACGGCAATACAAAGTATCATTGATGATTGAAAACTGATAGCTAGTGAGGAAAAAATGGTAGGAGTAATATTCCTAGAATTAAAACGGGCATTTGAAACATTTGAAACGATAGATAGGACAAGATTGCTGGATAAATTAGATCAGTACGGAATGAGAAAAATGGTACTAGAGTGGTTTAAATCATATCTAAGCAACAGAACACAACAAGTTAGATTTGATAATAAATGGTCAAAATGTATCGAAACGGAGTATGGAGTTCGTCAAGGATCGGTTCTAGGGCCTTTGCTATTTATAATATGTATAAATGTGTAACAACCGTTCGTTTTAGCGATCGGATTAGCTCGTCGGGGCCAGGGCTAAAACGTGGTTCATGCGGCGGGAAAAGCACGGGATCGGAGAGATCTATGACTCGAGATGTTTAGTGGTAGCAATTCACATTTATTTAGTATGAACGCGTATCAGGCAATCTCCGGAATTGAGGCCCTGTTACATTAGATTATTGAGCGCGCGGACAGACACGTATATACAGCTATTTACACAATGTAGTAGCCCACGTGGGTGTCAGGCGATCAATTTACGCGCGTTTCTACCACGTGAGGCCTCGGCCTTGTGCTCGCGCCGTCGGGACCGGTCGAACGGGTAGTACGCGGATGTCGACACGGGTTCGGAGCGGGTATTTCGTAAGCCGGCCGTATCCCGAACACGGTAGCGCAATCGCTACTCTGCCTTCGCTGCGAGGGTCAGGAGTCGAACTTCTGCGTGCCCGGTGTCTAGATGACTCGAGGATAGCTCGAGGCCACAAAATCATGACCCCGATGTTGCCAAGCGGTTCGATGTAGGATAGGATTCTTACTGAAGGCCCGTGATGTCATGGTAGAGACAGCGTAACTACGATTTCTATTCTCTTCGTGTAAGTGGTGGACTCAGTCGAGCGATGTGACTCGCTTGCTAGGCCTGGTGAAAAAGGTGCTTTACCTTCTCGGTCCCGGCCTTTTATACCCACGGCGCCGGTAGTTCGTTATGAATATTGGCCCCACTCCACGGAGTAGTGGCACAGCGCCGCGGCGGCCGGGGCGCCAGATCGCAGTACTCGGGGCCTGGTTTCGAGTGCGCGCGTACCGGGGTGACAAGGGCGCGCGTACCGTTCGGTTGCAACCTCCCGCGCATCAGTAATCGTTTATGTAATATTTAAAAAAAGTGCGGGCGCACTGCACCTGTCATCGCCCCGCAGGTATTTGGCAAGGCGGCATCCGGCTGGTGTTTTGTCAGGCATCCGGCCGCTACCAGGTAATACGATGACGATGCATACTTTGGACTCGCATCGTTATAAATGATTTAGTACAATTTTGTCCAGCAGAGTGCAATATAAAAATGTTTACTGATACGTTAATATATGTAAAAGCTGAAAGCAGTACGGAAGTAGAAATGAAATTGAATACGATGTTACTTATAGTAGAAAAATGGATAAATGTAAATAAATTAAAAATGAATGCTACTAAAACAAAGTATATAATAATTAGAAATGTAAGAAAAGAATTGAAAAGAAATATCGAATTAAAATATCATGATGACATGCGATAGAACGAATGGAATTCATTAAGTATCTTGGCGTAATTATTGATAGTAAGCTCCGATTTGAGGAACACTGTGATTATATGCTAAAGAAAATAAGGAAAAGAATTAGATTTTTAATAGAATTGGTAGTGACATATCAGGTTATACTAGATGTATTGTTTATAAATCAATTATAGCGTCACACTTCGAGTATTGTGCAACGCTATTAATAGGTATGGGTGAAACTCAGCTAACAAAACTGCAAGTAGCGCAAAACCGCGCCATGAGAGTGATATTGCAACATGACAGATATACGAATGTCGAAAAATGTTGCAAGCGCTGCAGTTTGTCAGTCAAGCATAGATTGTATTACAATGTGTATATCTTTATTTTTAAAATATTAAATGGTATGATGCCGGAACATCTAGAAAATAAATTAGTTGTAATAAGAGATGTAAGCGAAAGACGAACAAGAAAATCGGAAAATATTAGAATAGATTTTAAAAAAACAAGAAGTGCACAAAAAAGTTTGTTCTATAAAGGTATTAAAATGTATGCCAAACCGACAGAATTGAAACAATGCGATAGACTTATAATATTTAAGCATATGTTAAAGAAATACATTATGTCTACGTTATCTATATTTTAAGATTCTTTTAAGACAGTTTGTTATATATTACGTATACAAATAGCTGAGAAAGCTAATAAATATCATTCATTCATTCTCTCTCTCTCTCTCTCTCTCTCTCTCTCTCTCTCTCTCTCTCTCTATCATATTAAAGATGCCTATATTGAAGATTCCTATATTTGATGCACATCTCAATAAGTAATGATTTTCTAAAATAAAGTAATTTCAAGC